CTGTCGATTGGCTTTACTGGAACATTCATGCTGACGCTGTTTCCGAGGCAATCTCCTTCGATTTCGGTGATGAACATCATCATCACAACCAAATTCAAGCTGAATCTTTCACTCGAAATGGAAGTAAGCTCGACAACCAACTTCTATACAACAAAAGGAGACTGCGAACACACAAAAGGCAACATCATCTTGGTCTTCATACCTTCGATTAAAATACCAATTAGTCTATAAGTATTTATTGAAGCTCCAAAGAATCACTATGTTTACATCTCTTTTGGACTATTCATTCTGGTTCTGTTTGTCCATCTGACAGTTTGTAAATAAACCAGATTTCGCATACTTTACACGAATCCTGATGAAATATGTAAAAACGCATCTTTTATGCTGCTTCAAGAGGAGCAAAGTTGACCGTCCGCTCGCCAACACAGGCCCAGCCAAGAAGCGAGCTTTCCTCCATCGTGCCAAGCACGGCCCATGCCAGCGCATGCCACTTGCTAAGCTGCTTTCCACTTTGGCGGCGCCATCACGACGCCATCCCCTCTTTCAGACACGACTGCAAACGAGGCGTTTATTTGTTTAACGACATTTGAGAGTGCAACATCGCTTGAAAGGACGGCCGGCGGATGTTTGCTTCCTCCCAATCGGTGGGGACAAGATGACACTTTTGCGGGAGCATCATTCTGGCCGGCTTTTTTGTCTCACAATTTCTGCCGAAATGCTTGCTTTCTTGCTCATGAGTGAAGAATGGTGAAGCGATTTGTGCCTACTTTTTACGCACCACCTTGGCAGCTGGTATGAAGTTTTGCAGCCGGTACAGTTAACGGGCAAACTCGAGGAGTCCTACTGCTCAGGAAGCTGTGACGAGTGATATTCCAACTGATTTGGACTCGAATTCCCGTCCCATTTCGCGCTCTTCCTCGTCACTAACACCCAGAGTGGGTGAAAGTGAACGGGTGTGTGGAGCCTTAAATTTGATTTTCTGGCCAAAAAATCGTCCTCTCCAGTGACCGAGTCACGGTTGCTACGACGACTGTAAGAGAAGGCGAAGAAAAGTTGGATTTTTAGGAATCTCTTCTTTAATAATTGTTGAGCTTGCTGCCATTTCGAGTGAAAGTGTGGCGTCAAGAGATTCGAAGGTCGGATCCACAAGAAGACGACGGTGGATTCTTCTTGACCAGCTGTCGATTGGCTTTACTGGAACATTCATGCTGACGCTGTTTCTGAGGCAATCTTCTTCGATTCCGGTGAAAAGATGCTAAGCTTTCGTCCGTCAAATGACGAACATCAAATGCCTAAAAAGTGGTACATATACTCTAAATCTGGCCTCTTTGATCAAGTATAAAGTGATTCGGTTAGTTGAGGTCATGTGTCAACTTCGATGCAAACGAGTC